CACTTTTGATATATTTGCTATTCAAACTGAAGAGGAAAAAGCACATATACAAAAGCTCTTCGACAGACGGCTCAGATGATACTCACTACCTGATGGAGGTTAGCTGGGTGCTACTGAAGATTGGAACCTGCCTTGGATGGCTTGTGAAACGGCAAGTAAGGGGCAGCACGCCGGTCGATGTATACAAATATATAAAATCAATCAAGATGGCCTCAGGCTTTGATGATAGTCATGATGCAGCTATCGGGCCATTCGAGGGAGTTGATATCTACATACATCCAGAGTGTATGTCCCTGATCCAAGGTTCGCAGCCAAGGACCGATACAAACAAGGACTGATACGAACGATGGGCAAAGAAGGGCGTCCGGCTCTGCTCAGCACCCGATCAACATCGCCTTCAACGTCAGCATCTCTGGTCTTTCTTCTGGCTCTGTGGACGGTAGCACTGCATCTTGTTTCCTCCGCTCCAATGCCTAACCTGTCGATGAAGATTCCCCAGGTCGGCAACCCAGTCCTCAACGGCTGGTATGCGGACCCCGAAGCCCGTATCTTCAACCACAAGTACTACATCTACCCCACCGTGTCGACAGTGTATGAGAACCAGACCTATTTTGAGGCCTTCTCCTCCCCCGATCTGAAGACGTGGACCAGCTTGGGAAAAGTGCTGGACTTCAAGGACGTCTCCTGGAGCACGAACAGGGCTGCGTGGGCACCCTCAGTTGCCTTCAAGGATGGGTTATACTACATGTATTTTTCTGCTGGAGACGGAGTTGGGCTTGGGGTTGCACGTTCGAGTTCCCCAGAGGGTCCGTTCAAGGATGCGTTGGGTAAGCCGTTGATATCAGAATCGTACTTTGGTGCGCAGCCCATCGATGCAGATATCTTTATCGACGATGACGGGAGGAACTATCTCTATTATGGCGGCCATAGCCATGGTGTTGTCGTCGAGCTAAATGATGACATGATCTCCCTCAAGGGGGAGGTTAAGGAGATCACTCCAAAGGGTTATGTGGAGGCTCCGTGGATGTTGAAGCGAAAGGGCGTGTACTACTTCATGTATAGCACTGGCGGGTGAGTCTGTTCTTTGTTATGTTTGCATTCCAGCTTGATATCTCTTTGAATGACTGGCATTAACACTGTCAACATCTTCAAGGTGGGGAGATAACTCGTACGCAGTGAACTATGTCACTAGCAAGAGTCCACTCGGTCCCTTTGACGGCGAGCCTGTCAAGATCTTGCAGGGAAACACCGCAATTGGAACAGGAACCGGCCATAACAGTGTCTTCTCGGTCGGGGATGACTACTATATCGTGTATCATCGCCGATTCCCAGACGACAGCGAGAGAGACCATCGAGCCACATGCATTGATAGAATGTATTTCACAGATGACGGCCGAATCGAGCCCGTCAAGATAACAACAGAGGGGGTGGAGGCCCGGGTTCCATGGTGATTAGCCTCCTTTTGTGAATAATATGATAGCGCCTCTAGCTTGAGATGCACCGGCATTTTCATTTTGAAAAACGTGGCCATCCGGCGACTGGGTACGCGTCTGTATATATCGTTTCTTTCTTCAGCACGCAGAGGCCTTTGCTCCGGAACATTCGTGGAAGCAATCCGTCGGGCGTCGAGGATCATAGTAACCACCACCAGATTTAATATCATCGTTGCCGTACTCTTCATCAGTATCACTTTCCACCTCTTTATCCGCTTGTAGAGGACCTTCACCCTTGCCGGTATTGATCGTGGGCCCAGAGGCCTTGGTCGAAACACTCTCCCGTTGAGTGATATCCTCCTCGTCGTCCTCGTCTCCCAGGACATTCTTCTTCAGCCGGGCTGCCCCTGCAGATGCGACTGTGCTCGAACTCCCGGCTCCTCCGCCAGCTACCACTGAGAACGAACTTTTGAATCCGCCCTTTTTGAACCCACCGGTAGAGCCACTACCAGTGCCTGAGCCGCCGCCCTTCTCCCCACTGGAGTTAACAATTATAAGCCCTGCTTCTTCATTGGCCTTTCGTTCAGCTTTTCTCGCCTTTTCAGCAGCGTTTGGGTCTCGAGAAAGCTGCTTTAGGTCGCGCAATCGTTTCTTGTGCTGGTGGTCGTAGGAACCGATGTGTGCTTCGTACTCGGGGTGCCGCGAGTAAGACTTATTGCAGAGTGTGCAGGTAAAGGCATTCAGTGCCGAGCGAGCAGATTCAGTCTATCTCATGTCAGTATTCGCTCAACTTTCTGGCGCTTGGGATGGTTGCTTTGCGGGTTGGGACGTCCTGCTCACCTTTGGTGCTGGGTTGGTGAAGCCGCGCTGTCGTTCTAGCAGTCAGTAAAACATGTTATCCTTCCTAGCTAGAGATGTCACTTACCGGAGGCATCTTGTCTGTATACACTCTGGGATAGATGTCAATAAAGATGTTGAGAATTGTTTATGGTCAAAAGGGCGAAGTTGGCGAGTTGAAGATAAATCGCGGCTTTTTGACCAATCAAGGACGCCCAGTTGCGGATTTCCCATCCAAAAGGCCAAAATTTAAGCTATCAAGAGCATCAACCTTCTGCACATTTCTTCTCTGCATGGCTTTGTGCAGGTTACAGACTGAAAACGCTCATTCCTTTTTGCTTTTATCCTTTTTGCTTATAGGAAGCAGCCGAATTGGCTCAGACTGTTGGTCGATATAACTACTTCTTGTCCACGGCGACGGCATGAGCCAGCAACAGCTCTATCTACAGGAGATAGACCCGTCTCCGCTGGACGAAATGGACGGTGACATAGACCTCGAAGCCGCTGATGGCTCCTCAAAAGCTTCTAGAGGCCCGTCGGGAGGTCATGATCTGCCATCACGGCCGAAGCTGGGCTTAAGCGGCCACAGCTGGGACTACTGGTGTACGTTTACGTTCAACTCTGCCCTGCTATACTAAAGATGGCCGTTTATTTGAAGGTGCAGCTTCGGAAATGATATATACTCACATGTCCTAATAGTGTCGGCCGTCCAGAAATACTCTACATATCCACCTACTGTCTTTCTAGGGCTACACTTTACAAACACAGCACTTATACCGCTAGCGACTCGGTCCGTGTCTGAAAGCGAGACCTTCCTCCTCCTCACCCGTCCAATATACCAGGCTCCAGGACTTGAACCACTGATAGTCTACTTGCCTATCTTGGCGCACGTCACATCTGGAGTCATACTCCGATACCTCCGGCAGTCTCGACGAGCTCGGCAGTTCGGTGCAGAGACACGAGAGCAACGAAAAGCCATCAAGTCAACTGGTAGGCCGGCAAGTGTCCAGGCGATGCTAGGCTACGCGATGATACCGTTGATCGGATCACATATACTTGCCAACCGGCTTGTTCCGCTCTATGTTGACGGTGGCAGCTCTGGAGTTGGGCTTGGTTACGTGGCCCATGGAATTGCCCGGTCACCTTGGCTCATGGGGGCATGGTATGCCGCGCTCACTGGCATTGGAGTATGGCACTTTGTCGGCGGCTGGGCCTGGTGGTTTGGATGGAGAGAAGTGCTGGTCACTAAGAGGGCTGCTCCAAGCCACGGCAGTAGCGCTTCGGGAGCCAACGGCGGCTACCTGGGCTCCCAGAAGGGTACCGAGCTGTACCAGAGGAAGCAGAGACGGCGTTGGATTGTCAATGGCACCTCGCTAGTTGGAACAGCTCTCTGGCTTGCTGGTGGTCTCGGGATTATAGGAACGGGCGGACTCGGAGTTGGATGGGAGGCCAAAGGTTGGGATGCCCTGTACAGCCAGGTACCTCTGCTCGGCGGCCTACTTGTGCCCGATAAGTAGTCAATTTCGCCCGTCATTCTCTATGCACATACCATCTTTTTTCCTTTGCTTCTTGTCCTTCTACTGTATGTAAATATAATTCTTCCTGTAGCTTTTTGTATAGATATTTAGAGTTTGGCCCGTGCGTTTCCACCGAAATCTTTTTTTTTTCTCCAACTCATTTGAATCGTTAGAAAACACACAATCACGGAACAGACGACAACGAAGAGAAAGGGGTATCTCGTTGGGATTCAAAAGACCGCGAGAAAACTCGACTAAGACTCCAATGCTCCTAGGCCGATTCGGCATTGGACCCGGCCCTGGACTGCGATGTGTCGTTACTAAACCGCTGTTACTGCTATCAACCACGAACGCGAAAGCTTCATATCAATTGGCGCGTAAGATGGCGTCCACCGAAGAGGCGCCTAAGCTAGGGACGATATCGAGCCCACCGAAGCAAGGCCAGTTTATAAAACACGGGTCGACGGTGTACAAGACGATCCAAGAAGGCCTGGCGTATATCCTTGTTAACCAAAAGGATGCTGAGCCAGCCAAACCGCCTCCATTAACTCAGAACCAGAAGACCACGGAAGGAGACCGGCCTTCTGTCTTCTATAATCCTATCCAACAGTTCAATCGAGACCTGAGTGTTCTAGCTATTCGCGCCTATGGAGAGCATGCCACCGCCATAAAGCAGAAGAAGCGCAAATTGAAGCTCAAAGGTAGAAAGACCCCCACAAAAAAGGCAAAGGCCGATGAAGGGAACGAGATAGAGAAACCTATTGAAACAGGTGCGCCGTCTGCTGGTGATCAAGTGAAGGCAGAACCGGTCGGGGCAGGCGTGAACAAGAGAAGACGGGAAGATGAGGAGGCTGCGACAGAGGAGACTCCCTTGAAGAAGCCTTGTACTGAGACACGGTCAAGTGGTGAAGAGATGGCTGGACCAACTGGGGAAGAGATTGCTATGCAGGCCAAAGATGTCATCGTCCCGGAAAATACAGAAAAGGTAGCGGAAAACGCAGCACCTAAGCCATGGACCCCTTCATTTACAATACTGGACGCTTTGTCTGCCTCGGGGCTTCGAGCTCTTCGTTACGCGAAAGAGATCCCCTTTGCAACTCGCGTTGTTGGAAATGACCTGTCCGCAGCCGCCATCGAGTCTATGAAACTAAACGTCCAACACAACGGTCTAGAAGGTAGAGTCCAGCCGAACAAGGGCGATGCTTGTGCCTATATGTATACTGTTGGTCGGGCTCAAGGATCTCCTAATGAGCCTGGTGGCATCCCGAAGTTTGACGTTGTTGACCTGGATCCTTATGGAACAGCAGCGCCCTTCCTAGACGCAGCTGTTCAATCCGTTGCCGATGGCGGCTTGCTATGTGTTACCTGCACTGATGCTGGAGTATTTGCAGGAGCTGGATACCCAGAGAAAACATTCGCCCTTTATGGTGGTATCCCCATCCGCGGATCACACTCTCATGAAGGAGGGTTGCGGTTGATTCTACATGCCATAGGCACTGCCGCTGGAAAGTACGGTCTAGCCATTGAACCTATGCTTTCTTTGTCAATCGACTTTTATGCTAGAGTCTTTGTTCGTGTTCATAAGGCTCCAATTGAGGTCAAGTTTGCAGCCAGCAAGACAATGATTTCCTTCAACTGTGATCACGGTTGTGGTTCGTGGAAGACACAGCGCCTTGCTGAGAGAAAACCGCAAACGGGCAAAGATGGAAAGACCTTTTATAGCTACGGACTTGCCCAGGGCCCGACTGCTGCTCCCAACTGTGAGCACTGTGGTTTTAAGACTCACGTTGCTGGCCCTATGTGGGCTGGTCCCCTGCATAACCCCGTCTTCATCCAGCGTATTCTCGACCTAACGGCTGGTGCAGATAGGGATACCTACCAAACATGCCCTCGTATAGAGGGTATGTTGACTACTGCTCTTGAGGAGGACTTGGATCTTGGCGGAAGCGCAAAGGAGCCCACCCCAGAAGCAGAACCAGTACAACCTAATACCAACAGTCAAGAAATGTCTCTTCTTATTCCTAGAGTTGACCCTGCCCTTATCGAGCCCTACCCGTTCTTCTTCATCGTCAGCAATCTGGCTCGCGTGCTCCGCACTTCAACGATGCCAGAAATTCAATTCCATGGAGCGCTACGAAGCCTGGGATATAAATCTACTCGAAGCCACGCCAAACCAAACTCAATACGAACTAATGCTCCCTGGGAAGTTGTCTGGGAGATTATGCGAGAATGGGTTCGCCTTAAATCGCCTATTAAACCTGGAGCGCTCTCCGACTCCACAGCTGGTGCCGGTATTCTACGAAGAAACCGACATACACTTAACCCTGTACCTGGGGAGGCACCTGGGCTGAAGGCATTAAAGCGCGATCTCCTCACTGCAGTTGACTCTAGTAGGAGCATTGCAGATATCACAATGATGGTTCAGGCCGCATTGTATCGCTCAGGAGTGCACCAATCAATAGAAACCGTGGACAGGCATACCTTAGAAGAAATGGAGAAAGATGAAAGCAACAATGAGGTAGAAAGCAATGACTCTTTGACAAGTGCCGGTTCGCCCTCAACTCGCCAGGATCCAAGCACACTAAATGTTGTGTTCGATGGAGAGCTAGGAAAGAAAGCCCTCAGTTCACATCGCAAAAAACGTTTAAAAAGATATCAAGCAAACCCCAGGCCTAACTGGGGGCCGATTGCGCGAGCCCATGTTACCAGTACAACTAAGAATACCAGCTGAGATAATATAGCATTGCCAATTCAATCTGAGCGAGCATCTGTACTGTACTATTTTTCTGTCAGAGTTGATACGATATGTATGTTGATGGCTGAATGATTCATCCTACTTGTCCTATCTACGAGCTTTCTAGTAAAGAAAATCTAGGAGCTTGTTCTGAGGAACATTTCCTCGAAAAGATTTACGATGACGTAGCCTAAATTTTCTTCTATTAACATTCTACTGGGTTATTAATGGACTACAAGAAAAAGAAAAGAGAAGAAAGATTGAACATGAAGCTTTTTGCACCGTCATTACATCTATCCGGACAGTTCATTACTAGATGGCATGGAAAGGAAAAAAAGGCAGAAAGTCTTGCAGGAAGGGAAAAGGAAAAAATAAATATGAATAGATGCAGAAATCATGTAGAGGGACGCAGGGCTGACCCTAAAGTCAGGTCAGATTATGCACTTGAGGACTCAATGTTTATAGATAATTCGACCAATAGGGGGAGATTAGAAGTGGGATTGAGCAATGGCGATGGCTTGAGCATCACTATGAGTGATACTGACATGCACCTCCTTGACACCGGCCTCCTTAGCAGCGGCAGCGGCATCGCCATGTAGCTGTGAAGAAGAAAATTAGTTACTTGTACTGATACAATGGAGCGACGGGATAAAGTTAACCTACCACTACAACTGGAGCACCGTTGTCATCATGGATGATTTCAATTTCCTTGAGGGGGGCACCACTTCCCTTGCCACGAACACCGAGAGACTTGAATACGGCTTCTTTTGCACTCCATCGGCCTGCAAAGGATGCTCGTGCGGAGCCTGCTTGAGAACAGTATTCCTTCTCCCGCTGGGTGAAGTTGCGGTTGATAAAGGTCTCGTTCGAGATATTAAAAGACTCAATGTCCTCTACATCGACGCCAATCTTGGTGTTGCCAGTTACAGTGGCCTTTGCAAGAGTCTCGACCATCTTCTTTGTGCTTTCGGTTTTGCTGACGGGGGTTGGTGCCTTGGGTTTGGAATGAACCGGGTACTGTAGCTTGGACTCTTTGTCGTTGTACTCTACACGGACATCGGGGTTTAGATAGACACTGGATTCCTGGTTGTCTTCATATGGCGACTTGTCCTTCGCAACGAAGAGAGTGTTGTTAATCATGCCATTATGGAAGTATCTGTAGGCACGCTTCTGACGAGCCTCAACCTTAGCTTTATAGGCTACGTATCGAGCCTCATCAAGGGTAGCGTAGAGGTACTTGGGGTGGATACCAATGGCTTGGGTTCCCTTCTGACCGAAGCCGAAGGACGTCACGGAGAAGGCTTTGATACCATCGGTCTGCAGACTGCGGCTGGGGTAGACAATGTAGTCGAATTTCTCCATAACCTTGTCAATGTTGTCGGCATTACGGTTACCGGGGACAAGACCGGTGTTGAGAACCTGAAGACATCCGTTGATCATGAAGCCACCAGCAGCACCCTTTGGATGACCGGTGAGATATTTCTGGAAGATACCCAAGAGGGCGTTACCCTTCTTTCGGCCAAGATGCTTCATCTGCTGACACAAGACATCACACTCATTCTTATCATTGGCGACAGTAGAGGTACCGTGGAACGAAGCCACATCAACATCGTCAATAGTGAGGCCCCAAGTTGCGAGGGCACCTCGCAAGGGAGCTATTCTAGAATCTTGCTTCCAGAAGTTATTACCCAGGCTGAATGCAGCATCCTTTTCTTGCCTGATGGCCTCGCGCTCAATGTGTTCAAATCTTTCTTGTCGGTACTCAGCAGCGTTGAAGGTTTCATCAGACTGGGCCTTCAGAGTATCGATCTCGTCTTGGAGACCAAGAATCTCGGACTCACGCCATGCTCGGATTTGGCGACGGCGCATGTCCAGCTGTCTGCGACGGTATTTGATGTCAAGCAGTGGCGAGGGGAATTTTCCAGGGTTCTCACGAGCAGTGGTCAATACTCCCTTGCCGGGAGCAGGAACTGAACGGCCAATCTTATCAGTAGCAGTGGTGGTAAGAGCCACTATACCATAGATTGGAACACCCATATCCAGGGCAAGTTGAGCACTCATAATCAATTGCATACCACACCCCTGAGATTCCATGAATCCACTACGAGTAGTGGTGGTGGGCCTCGACATCTCCTTTGGTGTTCGACCGTGAGCCAATTCAGATTCCGCATTGCTGGTGGCGCCCATATTGGCGAATTCGTAAGAGCCTTCTTCTTGGAAGTCATCAAATCCACCAACAAAGCAGACGCGAGCCTTGCCTTCAACAATGGTCTCGTAACCAATGTCTACGGATTCAACAGCAGTGGCACAAGCACCAACTGGTGTCTTGATAGGGCCAGTTGACGAAAGGAGCAACATGTTTACCCAGGCACTCATAGTATTGATAAAGGACTCTTGAAGGATATCCTTTTGGAGTGGCTTGTCAAGGTAACGGTCCTTGTACATACCGCGGAGAGCTTGAGCGCCTCCGATACCAGAACCAATACAGTTGCCAACCTCGGAAATATGAACATATTTATAGAATTCATATGGATCCGTGACACCAGATGCAAGAAGAGTCTCCACGGTACAAACAAGCACGTAGAGGGTGACGGGGTCAACCTGGCTAATAATGTCATCAGGAATTCCATAGTGCTTAGGGTCCCAGCCCGTAGGAATCTGGCCAGCGACAAAACGGTCAAACTTGAGAGCTTTGGGGATGAGAAGAGTAGCCCCCTTAAGCAGACGGACAGTGTACTCTCCGGAGTTCTTGATTTCGAAAATCTCAACCTTGTCGCCATGTTCACGCTTGAATTCCTCAGCGGTCTCTTTGGATGCCTCGAAAGTATCGAGATCCTCTTGCAGAACAACCTCTTGCAACAGGTGTTTGTTATTGGGATCGTATCCACCAAACAGCTCAGGCTCGACAATACGAATACCAGAGTGCTCCAGAATATACTTCTCGTATTTGGCTTTGACGTCCTTGTCGCTAACTGGTTCACCAGTTTTGGTGTCAACCCAACCAGAGTATGGTTTACCTTTGAGAGGGCCGTTATGGTTCTTAATGAGACCCATCATCCATGCCATCTCGATGCAGCCCTCAAGAGAGAACTTTCCGTAAGCCTCCATCTCCCAGCGGGTACGGGAGTTACCCCATGGTCCAATTTCAGCAAAACCGGTGATAACAACAACTTTATCCAAGTTGACCATATCCTTGAGGTTAACGTTCAAGGGCTCAACCTCGGTCTTCCAATCAGGCAGAGTCGGAAATTCGAATTTGAGGTTGGCGCGAGGTTCAGTAATGACTTTCTTATACAGAGCCTCGCTGTCCTCACCGTTAACAATCTTATTCTCGAGAGCAGTCTCTTTCATAACTGCCTGTCTGACAGTGCTGGTCTCGACAATCTCACTGCGAAGCTTCTTCATCAACCCATTGAGATCAGGAATGAATTGCAGACCACCGTTCAGGTCCGCAAACACAGGGTTATTCTGACAGAGATCAACAATAGGTGGCGCCATAAGCCCGAGCAAGTTAAAGGCCATTTCCTGTTGGGAGAAGGTACGAACACCAAGCTTCTCAACACCTTCGGTAATGGTGTCATTGGCATTCATCAAACCGGTGGAACGAGTCCAGCCAATAACAGCTCCACAAATGGTGAGATAGTCGGACCAGTTCTCAGAGTACCATCTGTTGAATAGGGTCTCTAGACCAAGTTTCGACTCGGAATAAAGACCATCGTTTCCGAAGGTTCCGTGGTTGGGAGACATGGGGAGAACAACCTGAGCCGGACGTGTTGCAAAGCCCCGATCGTGTTTCTGGGACTTGACAGCACCAATCATACGGAGAATGTTTGTCAACATAAGGCGATGGGCCAGCTCGGATTTAGAGTCAATAGAGTCTATTTCACGGCCGTTTTCAGAAATAGCAGCAAACGGAACAATGTGATCTAGATCCCATCCAAGTCCATTCTTGGGGTCGTAGATGTACTGGATAAGAGCTTCAACATCCTGTTTGCTTCCCTGGTTAAATGGGACGACAACAAGTTGGGAGCCTCGAGCGCCGTATCGTGTATACATCGTTTGGTAGTACTCAGTAACTTCCCTCGAGAAACGGCTGGTAGTCACAACAACCTTAGCTCCACCACTGATCATTCCCTGTAGAACAGCGGCACCAATAGAGCCAGCGCCAGCACCAGTCATCAGAATGTTCTTGCCACTGAAGGTGAGACCTGACCGAGCGGCAGACTCGAGCCCATCAAGATAGATGCCAGTCAATTTCTTGCTGTACTCCCATCCGTGAGTCGTTTTCCTCTTAAGGTGCAAGAAGGGGATCGTCTCAATCTTGCCCGAGTTGGCGGGAGGAGAGTGAGATCCGTTGGCAGGCGTTCCCTTCTTAGTGTGGCCGTTCTGTCGAGGCATGATTTGGCGTTCGTTCATGGCCAAGGTTCGCAAAACTTCCTTATAAAGGGAGTTGAACTGTAATTGTGAAGCTTTGGAAAGTTTATGTTGTTTTTGAATCATTTTATAAACATTCTTTAGGTCGTTTTGTACTTTTGTACGGCCACTGTATTGAGAGATGGGTCCTCCCTGGGCCATAGCACGGACGTAATCTTCGAGTTTGCGAGCACTTGGCCGTGTGGCCTCCTGGTATTTAATGTTTCCTCTAGCATCGACGGTTGTCTGGGGTCCGGTGGGGACTGCAACATCTTTGTATACTGGATCGGCGTTGAGAACATCCTTACAGTTCTCGATCAGCATGCATCCAAGCTCCTTGGCTAGCTTATAGGTCTCTCCACGCTCGGTCGGGCAGTTATCAATATGGTACTGCATAAAGTCAGAAGGAGCGGGTTGGATCTGTCATGATGTGGAT